AAGGACAAAATGGAGGCTACAGAAAGGCACAAGTACCTCCTGATCCAGGATATCTCTGAGCTGCCAGCACTTGGCAGGGTGTCAGGTACACAGCAGGAGCTCAGCACAGGCTTGCTGACTGAATGGATTATAGAGGAGGGACCCTCTCCTTTTGACTCCACACCTTTGGTAAGACTCTTGGCACTTTGATTGGTTGGACATGGGACACCTTCTTGCTTCTCCTTACCTGTCTGGGTCTCATGGAGTCTGGATTCTACTTTCTCACTTGTATCTCTAGTATTCAACTGTCACTCATATCTTATATTATGGAGTATTTACTATGTGTGTGGGGATGTGCCATACTTGAGGACCTTACATGTATTAACTCATTTTATTTGCACAAAGATCAGACTGAAGTGAGTACTTCATCATGCCTGTTTCACAGAGGAGAAAAACTGAGGTTCAAAGAGGTTAAACAACRGAGCCAGGAAAATAGTCAGGCAGTGTGGTGCCAATCTACACCTTCCAAGCTTTGAATTCCTAGATCTGAATAGCCATGCTGTGCAGACCTGCCCGAGGTCTACCAGGACACTGTAACTACACCTCTGGATTTCCCAGACTGACCCTACTGTAGACTCCTTGACCTCCTAGCAGCACTAGGTCCCTCTGATCCACTCTGGTAGGGGCTGACTCTCTGCTGCTGTCTTCTCACCTTGACAGAAATCAGGAACGAAGACTATCCTACAGTGAGGCTGAGTTGCTTTCTGGGGTGGTCTAGCATTTCTGTGGACTCCAAAGGGTACATTCTTTCTTTTCTTTCTTTTTTTTTTTTTAAACCAGTTTCTCCAACAGGTGATTTCTCTAAAGTACTATTTGACATATTTGGGAAAGTGGAGGAGGCCACCTCTGTAAGATTCATTTGATCCGAGCTTCTTTTACTCCCAAGCCAAAGAAACACTATCTTTCCTACAAGCACCTGTTAGGTATCACCAAGTGCAAACCCAAAGCTGCATTAGTAATGGTGAGAAGGAAAGGAGAGAAACTTCAAACTTGCCATATAGAGCATCTGGCTTTCAACAAAGAACTGCCTGGCTTCCTGTTGGACAGGGACAGTGAGCCACTCATTACAGCACAATGATAGGAAAACGCTGAGCAGACAACAATAAACCAAGGAGTAAACAGCGCCCAGGTTTTTCTTTAAACCAACATGTGTGGCTGGGTGGGTTGTGGTGTTTTATTTATATTGCTATGCAACGGAGGAAAAAAAAACAACAAACAAACCCGAAGGTGATTTCAATGAAAGGCACAGGAAAATACTGAGCTATCTGACTGCAGTGCCTGAATTTAGACCTGACAGATGTTGGGAGGGGTTTCATGGTAGACATCAACCATGATATCAGAAATTAATTGAGTAGAGTTAATGGGTAGGCTTTACTTTTACTTTAAAAAGAATCCAGGCGGTGGCCCTGGGCCAGGCACTGCAGGCTCTGGCAAGATCTAGCTGAATGTTTAGAAAACCAGGAGCACAGCCGAGGGGAGCTTAAACCCAGCTGCCCTGAAGGAGGTTACAAATCTAGCTGTCAAATTGCAGCTCAGAAAACCTCTATGCCTGCCCTCCGGCCAATTTCTGACAGGATCCAAAATGCTGTCATCTAGGCGACCTTATACCTCAGAAGGGCAGACATCTAAGGGTGTGTGTGTAAATGTTACACTCTTAAGTCACAGCTGAAGCCTGACCTTCCAGGAAAAGCCCTCCAACCAGGAAAAAACAACTTCAGAAACTAGGGTGGGGCTTTTCTAGAATCAGGTTCCTTCAGTGACAATGGAGGTAGATATCTAAATAACTTAATCCATTCAGTTCTTCCCTGTCGGGCATAAGGCCCTGGTTTCAGTTTGTCCCTTTTGTGTTGGTTGTGCGGCACAAACACGGGAAGATGGCCTCTACTTGCTGCTGTTGCACAACCCTGTCCCCTGCCCCCTGCAGCCCTGTGGAATTGAAAGAGAGAAAGGTCCACATACTTCCGTACTGGGCTCAGTCCGAAGAGCAGCCAGGTAATGATGGGCAGGCAGAGATAGGTCCAGTGGACAACTGATTATGTAAATCAGAAATCCATACTCAGTTTTCTAACCTGAGATTAATGCAGCTTCATTAATTCACTCTACAGATATTTATTAAGTGCCTCCTATATGTTAGACACTATTCTAAATGCTGGGGATACATCTGTGAACAAAACAGAAGAAAAGGAAATTCCTGCTCTCAGTGCTGTTAAGTTCTAGTAGGGAAAATCCACAAGTACACATTAAGAAGATAATGTATAGTTATTCCCAAAGGAAGACAAGTTGGAAGTCATTTGGCACACATGTATACTGTTTGCCAATATTAAGGGAATCAGGGGAAAGAGCTTTATGTTGAATGCTTCATATGTGCCAGGCACTTACTAATAAAACCTTACTAATTAACCTTTTTGAGCACTAACTATGTATAAGGCTCCTAAAAGGTGAGGCTGGATACTTAACATATTTGATTTTAATGCTCTCAACAACTCTATTTCTCCACTCATACAAATGATAAATCAACCTGAGAAGTAAAAATAACTTGCTCAAGCATACTCTGCTTGGATCTCTGCCCTTAAGCCTGATGRCTTCTTCGTATAGATGGTGGCTCACATGCCCCTTGCTCTGCATCTCAGCTGGTGATGCTGGTTTCTCACCTTTGCCTTAATGTCTTCTTCTTCAGAAGACTTTGCAGCCTCCTTAATGTTACTGTGATCCCTTCTCTGAACACCTTAGTCAGAACATATATACCAAAGGCCATATATGACCTCAGTGGCTAACACAGGGAGGGACTCAAACTTTGCTTTGCTGCTACTTCCCTTCCTTACTGTGTTAATGGTCAATGGTGTGAAATTTGTCACTTGATTATATACTGAACTTTTCTTTTTTTCCGGGGGGGGGGGCAGTTGTTGTTCTATATGCATTGGTCTTGTTTCCTCAAGTAGATTAGCTACTTAGGAAACAGTGTTTGCAGTTACTAGTGCTTATTTATTATTTGTTTAGTCATTATTCAATAGTGGCTCTCAAACTTGCACATGGGTCAGAATTACCTGGGTGGTCTATTAAAATAGATTGCTGGGTCCCTCTTCCAGAGTTTCTGATTCAGCAGGTTCAGGATGGGCAGAGAATGTGCATTTATGACCAATTTCCAAGGGATGCTGAAGTTGCTGGTTCAGGAGCCACACTTTTGAAAACCACTGGTTAACTGAATTACCACACTTTTTAAAAGCAAGTAGGCAGAGTTTGAGACCCAATCTTTGCCTCTTGCTAGCTGTGTGATCTTGGGCAAATTAACCTGTTTGAATCTCAGTTTCCTCATTTGTAAAAACGGGGATAATCCGATGCACATCAGTATTGCCATGAAGATGAAGTGTGATAATGAATGTAATGTGCTTAGCCCTGTCCTTGACACATGGAAAACACTCAATAAATGCTTCCAATTATCCCTGGAAAGGCTGGCACAGCTTCAAGCATTTAATAAGAACTGAGCCCAGTTTAAGAACTTCTATTCAGGCTGCTATAAACTTCTTTTGAATTTGTAAGCAGTGAGAGTGAAAGGTGTCACTGCAGCAATGACATCTATAATTAATTAACGACGTTGGAAATTAAGCCAGCCTACTAATAAAACATACAAAATAAGGGCCTTGAGAAATGTTCCTCCTTATAGTATGCTGAATATCAATGTCCAGGTGTACAAAAGTCACATGTATCTTTAAAATGCAGGGGCTGTTCCTGGGTACCTCCTCCACACATTCCATTGCTGAAAGATGCTGAAGATGGCTACTTGGAAGAGCTTGGAGTTGTTGGAGTCACCCAGACGTCAGGGCTAATGGGTTGGCAGACACAAACTGGGCCCATTATTCAATAATTAATTACTTGCAGCCATGGGAAGCAACCTCCACAGAGCAAATGGTTTCAAAGCACCTAAGCCCCTCGTGCTCCCTCCGCCCTCTAAAAACCTCTTCACCCAAAGCAGGACCTATATTTTCACTCAGGGTCTATCTGAGCAGTTACTATGGGTGGCCATTAAGAAAGCCCAAGAGGGACTGTGCAGAAGACAATTTTCAGACCTTTCTCAGAATTCTCCAGGACCTGGAGCTGAGTATCCAGGGGGCTAAGGATGGTGGAGCCCTAACCATTCTCTAACAATCTAGAAGACAAGGGTCACAGTCTTATTTCTCTGTGAACTACTAATTCCCGGATTGTTGTCAGCTCCATAAAACCCTGCAAAGTTGAATGAGATCATCTCCATTAGTATTAGTATTTAGCTGCGGACAGGAAACTGTGGGGAGATGCTGCTGCCTCTTGGAAGTCCCTTAGTGCCCCCCAGCATCCTTCCCTAAAGAGCACTCCCACCTCCTCATTCACTAGGACCCTGTCATAACGCCTAGAAAAAGGATGATCCTTCCCCACCCCCACAATTTTCATTCCCACCCCCAATTTCCTAAAGAAATCCTCCGAGGCAGGTGGTGTGTCCACACACTCTGGATGGGGTGGCACCCCACAGGCAGCCCCCGAGAGCAGGGGTTTCCCTCCCAACCCTTTGGCCAGGCCACCGGGCTCCCGCGGAAAGGCAGAGCGAGAAGGGGGTGTGTGTGTGCCTGGGAAGCTGGAGGGCAGCGCGGACCGCCGGGCCGGGAGCCCTCGGGAGGGGAGGAGTGGCTGGGTCCCCGCACCTGGCGTCACCCGCCCGGAGATGAAAACCTGGGCAGAGGGGCTCCTCCCGGTGAGAGCCGCTCGGTGTCTCCCTTCTTACCGGTTCCCAGGGCTCAACCTTCTCTTTTTCCCGTTCCCTCCCCCTCCGTCCGTCCCCCTCTTCTTTGTCTGCCTTCTCGCCTCCGCCGGTGGAACACCCTGCCCTCTCCCGGAGCCGGCTCGGACGCGCGGCGGTCAGCTCCCCCGAGACCCCGGCCCCGCGCCCGCCGCCGGTCCCCCTGCCCGGCTGGGCCTGTCGGCTCGGGTCTCACCCAGAACAGCAGGTTGAAGCCGAGCAGCAGGTACTTGATGCACCGCAGGCCCCCGCGGAAGCGCCCCATGCTGTGGCCCAGGCGGCGGGCTCCCGAGTCCCCAGGCCCGCGCCGCGAGCCCGGGGAGCGGCGGGCGCCGGCAGGGAGGGGCGGGGGGCGGGCCGCGGGCGGGGCCGGGGGGCGGGGCCTGCGGGGACCCGGAGCCACCAGCTGGCGAGTGGGAGGGCCGGCGGGCAGGGACGCCGGGAGGGTGCGCAYCCCTCCTCCCAGGGACTCCCTCCTTGCATTCTGCCGCGGAGACTCCCCTCCTGCCCTCCCTGGGGTCCCTGCTCCCGGGGGCGGTCCCGGCATCTGCGACGAGAGAACGTCCGCCAGGGGAGCGGGCCCCAGCTAATCAGCGCCCGGTGCCTAGACTCCTCAGAGGCCCTTCTTGATGGATGACACGTAGGTCGCGGCCTCGGTGGCTCTGGAAACCCGGGAAGGTGGCTTCAGGTAGAAGAGGTGGCAGGACCGTGGTGGAGCACCCGGCGGAGTTTCCCGGGCTGTGGTCCCGCGGCGCCCTGTAAGCTCCCAGGCCGCCGAGGCGGCTGGCAGGGGACCCTCCCTCCTGCCCCCGCCCCCTGCCCCCGCCCCGCGCCTCTCCGACGGTTCTTACCTTAATAGGCAAGAACTGGGGGCAGGCGCGCGGGGCGGCCACCCGGAGCCCGGCTCCCCACCCTCCTCCCACCCCCGTATCCTGCTAGATACGACCGAGGAGAGGGCTTGAAATGAATCCAAATTCCCGGGATCTTGATTATGTTGTGGAGATTGGAGAAAAGGGGGCGGTTTGGGTTTTGCTTTGTTTTTATTAAGTTTGGCTGCTGGCGGGAACTCAGGCTCCCCACTCCCGTTGACTAAAGAGTCTACAATGTGTGGTGTCAGACAGTGTGGGGGAGACAGGGAAGTGTAAAATTCAGGGAGCTGATGCATTAATTTAGCAACATTCTAAGTGCCAATTATAGACCAGGCATAGTAGCAAGCCCTGGGGACTCAACAAGGAGGGAGTTAGTCAGCTCTCCTATTGCATATCTGTATGCAATGAATTGTAGCCAGGTGTCAGGACAAGTTAAGTGCTGGACAAGCATCCCTGGCCTCACTGCATTGGCCAGGAGAGATTTTGCTAAGGAGAGTGAGACTGATCCCTTCTTGAAGAATGAGTCTCAGAGGAGAGGAAGAGCAGTCCAGAAAGCATGTGCAAAAGTTTGCAAGGGACCAAAGCTTCCTGGGAAAAGGATGAGAATCTTTGCTAGCCAGGTGGAGCAGGAGCCCATGTGAAGGCAGTGGGGAGGTGAGTCAGGAGAGTGCTGGAGCCAAATCACAGCTTGCAGGTAGCTGTTCAAAGTGCAACACAAACCCAGGGCCTCAGTTTCCCATCTCCTCACCTGCAACATGGGGATAGTACTTGTCTTAAAGAATTGTTGGAAAGATTAATGAGTTAATGTTTGCAAAGTGCCCAGAACAGTGCCTGCACTGTAAGTACAGTATAAGTACTGTAAGTACAATATAAGGGTTAGCTGTTTCAATATAGAACTCAATCAGCCAACCATCCAGTCTCCACCATATTGCCGTCTTGGCCTACATCTGCATCTTTGGACACAATGTTTGAAAAATCTAGTGAATTTTATTAACAAAAACGAGTAGAAGAAAGAAAAATGAAAGTGCTGATTCTGTAGTAAGTAAGCATAAGTCTCACACAGTGAACTAGAGACAAAGATAGAAGTTAATAGGTATGCAGATGCAAAGCTTTGATTTCAAACACAGTTCTATATCTGACACCTCTGTTTTACTATAAAGGAAAAAAACTAAAGAGTAGTGTCTACTACCCAGCAGGCATGCAATCAATCAACTAAATGAACAACAATGATATTATAATTTATATATATTGTTGAATTTCACATCTCTAAGACAAAAATATATTTATTTAGACATTATATTCAATATTCTGGGAACAGAACCCTTATTATGACATGCAAAGCTGTTGTTCTTTCACACTTTGATTTTAGCCCATGTGTAATAGACAAATGATTGCCTGCTTAATGTAACAGTTTTAGATTTTGAGTCTAGACTCTCAAGCATTCGACAAAGTACAGCATCCCTTTATGTTCAAAACATTAGAAAAACTAGGGATAACAGGAACTTTCCTCGACATTGTAAAAGCTATCTATGCTAAGCCTCAGGCTAGCATCATTCTGAATGGAGAAAAATTGAAG